TGTTTAGTGGAGCCTCATACCCTGCTCATCACGCCCCCTCCCCAGAGCCCTCCTGTCACAGTAGCAACAAGGAGGTTCAGGTCACCCCAGAAGAGGCTCCAGATACCTCCGGGCTCTAACCAGACTCCAACTCCTACCTCAAGCATCAGCCATTTGCCTCCCAGCACAGGTGGCCCAGGACTGGGTATTCTCACACCAGCCTTGGCTGCTCTAGCACCTGCCTCATTAGGCCTCATTTCCTAGTCCTTTGCACATAGGGTGGCTATAAAATAATGGCCACCCAATGTCCATTATAGTGCCGCTTGCGCTGAAAGACAGTAGAAGCCCCAGACTTCAGAAAACAGAGGCTTGGCCCTGGCCAGTTTGGCTCAGCGGTTGGAGCGTTGGCCTGCGGTACAGAGAGACCCGGGTTTGGTTCCCGCTAAGGGCACGTACCTCGGTTGCAGTTTGTCCCCGGCCCTGGTTGGTCGTGCGGGTGGCAGCCACTCTATGTGTCCCTTCACATCGATGTTTCTCTCTCTCTTCCTCTCTCTCCCTCCCGCTCTATCTGAACAAAAAATGGAAAAATGTCCTCGGGTGAGGATTAAAAAAAAAAGAAAACAGAGGCTTGCACAGTGCCCACAGTGTCTCTAAGCAGCCCCCAAAGCTCCTTGGACTTGAGCGTGAGGTGGGAGCTGTGTACTGATGACCACAAGCCCCAGAGAGAGCCAAAGATCACAGAAGGGATACTGCCACACCCTTGAGGCCCACAAGGTAGAGGGACAATTGAAGGGGCCCTGAGTGCCAAAACAGAGAAAGGGCCAGACCCAGAGGCCTCAGGATGGGGATCAAAGGAGCAGGGGGGTGGAAGGCGGGAAGATGGCCAGAGAAAAGGCAAAGAAAATGACAAAAATCAAAATTAATAAAGTTTTATTAAATATCTATAAGACAACACATTGTCAAGTAATAATGAACCTAACTCAAATAGGTATATATTAATGACTTTTAATGTGGAGTGCCAGCAACATTCCTAGGGTATGGGGTTTGGCCTGTAAAATTCAAAGTGCCAGGGGCCTGCCTATGGTCTTCAAATGTGCCACCCCAAAAATATAGATGTATCCCTCAGGAAAAAAAGGGTCTCCATAATAATTTGAGATTAATTTTCTACCATGTGGGGGAATGAAAAAGCAAGAGAGGAATTCAGGTCAGCTATAAAAAAATGAAGTGCTGCTCCTCACAAATTAATCTGTAATGGAGTCCCTGAGTCACCTCAGACACTGCCCTGCCATGCCCTTGTCAGCCTCTTTATCCCTAGGGGAGAAGGGGTACCCACCTACCCTTAAGCCCCTTCGCATTTCAGCACCTGGGTTCACCAGCCTCCGGTTTTTTCCACCTCTTAAGTGAAAATCTGCCACCCCTCTTCTTTCAAACCTAAATGAGTTAACTCATGTGACTTTAAAGAAGGAAGCCAGAGAGCTGGGTTCAAATTCAAAGGTCTCAGACTCATCATGTGATCCCAGGCAGGACCTACCCTCCCTCGCTAAGTCTTGGTCTCTTGTCCGTGAAATGGAATAATGATGCTTAGAGCAAGGCTGCTGCACAGACCAAGCAGGCCACAACTGCATGAGATCCTGCTTTTTAAACAGAATGGACTGCACTGGGCTTTGGCTAACAAAACAAAACCCAAAGAAAAAAGGTTTGTGCTAAACTATGTTGAACCCCGAAGAGGTGTTTCACCATTGGCCTTTCTGAGCTCTGTCTGGGGAGGTGAAGTTTTATTGTTCCCCATGGTCTTTTTGCCAGGGCTCACTGTCTCTTTCTGCCCTACCCAGTAGAGAGAGGCACTAGACCTGAATTGGTGGGTAAGCAGGTTTGAGGGGGAGGAGTGGTAGTGAGTAGAGCAGGCTTGGCTCCTAGAGGTCTGAGTCAGCAGCAGACAGGGCGGACCCAGTCCTCGCATGCTTAGGGAGATGGTGCAGGAATGTTCCTTCAGCCCAAGGGCTCTGCCCACCACATCCTGGCTCTTGTGGATGCAGCAGCCTCAGCTCTGGCTCAAGAGATGGGAGGTGCCTGGAGCTTTGTTTGATGGCTTCTGCCAGGGGCCTTCAGAGGCAGCCTGAACCTAGAGATTGGCCCAGGAGTGCGCAAGGCCAGGCCAGAGCCTGCCAGGAGCGGAGCTCTGGTCCGAAGCATCCACCAGCACGCTGGGTGATGCAGCCAGCTGCCACTCCTCACTAGACCTCAAGTTCCTTGTCTGTGCAAGAACTGAATGTGGTGGTATTAGGTGATGGGTGATCCCAGGTGGCTCCCCAAGAAGGTGGTACAGGTGCAACTACATGTGTGTGACACCTTTGCTATGTTCATGTGTGACTTTGTGGCAGTATGTGTGTATCATTGTGTGAGGAGAGTATGGCTGCGTGCATGAGACTGTAGTATGGCTGTGATGACACAGCTGAGACTGATGCTGTAAACAGATAACATGTAAACATGGCCAAGTGTGGACATGGCTGTGAATGTGACAGTGTGTGGCACTATGGATAGGAGTGTGACTGTGAGAGCACATGACCATGCATACATAGCTAATGTGCCTGTAGAAAGGTTATGTGACTGTGTGTAGCCATGTCTGCTTTGGGTTGGGCAAGAGTGTCTGGGACCATGTGGATGTGTGGATGACTGTGTGGCTGTGCCACTAGATGTAGGGGTGGTGGTGAATTGGACCTAGGACTACATGTCTCCCCCAGACCTGGCTCTGCTCCAGCTGTGACACAGTGGTTCACAGCCCTCCTGTGTCCAGGAGGTAAAAGGATGCAGGATCTGAGAACCATCCTCAACACCTCACATGTGGCCACAAAACAGACTCCTTTCCTGGGCTGGGCCAAGACTGGGTATCAGCGGTCCCCAACCCTCAGGTCCTGGTAGTTGCCCAGGGCAGAAAGAGAGGCCTTATTTTCCACCCCCCTCAAAGCAAAATGAGGGCAGGAACTGGAGGCGGCTGGGCCTAGCTCATTCTGGAACATGTTCCTGGCATGTGACTGAGCCAGCCAGCAAGCCATGCCACCACAAGGATACTCCCCCACACCATTCCCCCAGTCCTCTGCTGATAAGGGTTCTGGCCAGCCCCAACAGATCTCAAATTCCTCCAATACCCCATCTCACACACAGATAGAAAGAAACCAGCAAGAGGAGCTGTGACATTCTCAGTCCATATACACACTCCTGGCCATATACACACGTATGTGTGACATTCTCCGTTCCCACCACAAACAGGTTATCTCAGACTAGAGATCTCAGTATGTCTGGAGTAGGCCTAGCCCACTGCAAGATTTTCACATTTTGGTTCTTCTAGGTCCAAGCTGACCTGGTGTCAGGCCAACTCCCTCACCCTGAGGATGGGAGGTGTGGGAGATGGTCCCATCAAAGAAGGGACACGAGAGCACAGTCCCAGGGCAAGAAGCATTAACTGCACTGGCCAGTTTGGCTCAGCGGTTGAGCGTCGGCCTGTGGACCAGAGAGTCCAGGGTTCGGTTCTCATGAGGGGCACATACCACACACACAAAAAAGGCATGAACAGGGACTTTCCAGGCACTATGGGTTAAGAAGAGCATTCTCACCCCATGTAGATTGGCCTCAAGAAGGAGCCACCAACCCCACCCTCACCACCAGCCCCCTTGCTGTGGTCAGATTGCCCTGTGCAGAAGGCTACCTGGAGGTCAAAGCTCAGAAAAGAATAAAGGGAGTGGGAGAGTCCAGCCGGTGTAGCACAGTGATTGAGCACTGACCCAAACACCAAGAGGTCGCTGGTTCGATTCCCCGTCAGGGCACATGCCCAGGTTGTGGGTCAAATCCCCAGTGAGGAGCATGCAGGAGGTGGTCAATTGATGTTTTCTTTCATCGATAGTTCTATCTATCTCTCCCTCTCCCTTCCTCTCTCTCTAAAATCAATATAGAAAAAAAATTATAAATGGAGCAGGGGAGGTCCTCAGAGGGACTGGATATGAAGGAAAGAGAGGAGGGAGCAGGGAAGGGAAAATTCCACAGAAAGTCCCAAATCTGTCCTAATTTTGACCCAGGGTCAAGGGCCCATTCCAGAAGTTCCCCTGAAGACATTCTGCCCTGAATGGGGAGCCCTGCTGACCCCTCTGCCGCTGTATCTGCCATCTCATCTCACTGCCCTGAGCTCCCAGACCCCTGGCCTGGCCAAAGCCTCCTCTGATGCCCGGATCCAGACACTCCTCCCTTCACCAAGTCCCCATTGCCTCAAAAGAACACCTTGGTTTCATCACACTCCTCTTTCCCATGTGTGAAGAGTCCAGTTCATCCTGCCTGGGGCCACCCCATGGACAGGGCTGAGGAGTCCTCCTCAATTTCCAACATGGAAGCTACCTCATGGCTGGGTACCTAGCACTGCCTGGGAAAGGACACAGTTTCTGAGCTACACTCTCTTCCCTTGGACTGGGGCCTCCCTGGGGAGAGGAACCCCATCAATCAGACTGTCCTGGAACATGGCCTTCTATCCCTTTCTCATGTGACCCTCAGCCCTAGATCAGACCAGCTCAGCCAAACCCCTGGCAGGACTCCACCATTTGTGAGATGAGAGTGAGCTCTGGTACCTGGCCAGTGTGGCTCAGTCGATTGAGCACTGTCCCATGGACTGAGAGGTCCAGGTTCGATTCCCGGTCAGGGCACATGCCTGGGTTGTGGGCTCAATCCCCAGTAGGGGGCATTCAGGAGGCAGCAGATTGATGTTTCTCTCTCTCCCTTCCTCTCTCTCTAAAAAATCAATAAAAACATATTAAAGCTCTGGCCGGTTTGGTTCAGCAGTTAGAGCATCAGCCTGTGTTCCAGAGAGACCCGGGTTCGGTTCCCGCTAAGGGCACGTACCTCGGTTGCAGTTTGTCCCTGGCCCTGGTTGGGTCGTGTGGGTGGCAACCACTTGATGTGTCCCTTTCACGTTGATGTTTCTCTCTCTCTCTCCTTCCCACTCTATCTGAACAAAATATCAAAAAATGTCCTCAGGCAAGGATAAAAAAAAAAATTAAAAACATATTAAAAAAGAGAGTGAGGAATGAGAAGGGAATGCATCCAGCTGAGCTTCTCAGCCACCTCTAGATCCCCAGATAGCACCTCCCACCAGCACAGCTCTCCCCCCAACTGTTGAGGTTCTGGGGTAAATTTTGTGCCTTTCCAGACCTCAGGGATAATTAGGGTTCTAACCCTAACCCTAACCCTTATCCCCTCTGGGATCTAAATTAAAAAGTCATATTTTTGTTATCTTAATTGTAAAAAGTTTATCAAGAAAACAAGAAAAAATATTCAAGCAGCAGCAGCCAGGAAAGGCCATGACCTCCTGGAAGGGGCTAGCAAAGGTACCTCTCAAACTGCTGCTGGACCACACCCTGGCCTGGGGGGAAAGATTAGCCCCCTCGTGGACCTAACCATGGGTGGAAGACAGCAACTAACCAGGACCCAGGTAGGAATCACATGAGGCTAGCCATGGGTAGGTGGGCCCAGGGTCCCTGGGTAAGCCAAGCCAACCTATCTTTTTCCCTTGGGTTTCCCACTATGCACCAGGAAGGATTCCAGGATTCATGGGGCCAAGGACCCTAGGAGCCTGGAGTCTGAGCCTGCTAGAGTGTGGGGAGCTATTGCTGGTGAACTCAAATATCTGGTACCTTTGGGATATCCCCTCCAAGAAGATAACACCAGGGTCTTGGGGTTCATGACTTGTCTTAACACATTGAGCCCAGGGAAAAGATGCTGCATGGTACCCTAACCAAGGGGTGATGGGAACTTAGCAGGTGAAGAGCAGTCAGGAGGGTACTGGCCTGCAGCGCCTTCTGCAGGGGGCAGGGGTGGGGCACAGACAGGAACATGGGAGTAAGGAAGATCCCTCCCCACCAAAGTAGGGCAGCAAACTTACTTGGGAAAGTTGAGGGAGAGATGAAGGGTGTTTTCATGACTCCACACCTTTGCCCATGCTGTTCCTCTCTTCTAAATGTCCTCCACATCTACTGTCCTCATTTACTATCTGGTAGGTTCTTATCATTCCTCAAGACACCACTCAAATGTCGCCTACACCATGGAGTTTTCCCTAACCTGCAGAACAAGTGGTCTCCTCTTGTGAGCTTCAAAGAACCCCTTATTTACCAAGAGTCATTCTGTACTACCCTCCATCTGCTTCTGTGTCTGATCTCCACCTTGACTGGGGACACCCTGAGGGCAGGTGTCATGGCCCTGGGTGTTCAGCATCTGACCCAGGGCCACAGCAGGCCCCAGTGTCTGCTGAGAGAATGAGGGGATGGTGGCCAGGTACACAAGCACTAGAGGCTCTACGATTGGCTAAGACTGTCTTGGCCTCAAGTGACTGACCAGGCCTCAGCCTGGAAGGTTCCTGGTCCCATTCTCACCCATGCTGTGCCCCTACCTCTAAGGGGTGGAGGGCTTTCCCAGGGGTACTCATGACTCTTCCAGAGCCCACCCCTAGCTGCTGCTGGTGTGAGAATTCTGGAAACCAGAGTATACTGCAGTGAACAGGTTGAAGGTGGGGCTGGGCCAGGTACTCGAGGTCAGAGGTTGTCGTACATGCGCAACGTCTTCTCCAGCTGCTGGCCCACCCTCTGGTAGAAGAGGATCTGCTGGCGCAGGTAGCTCTGCATCATGTGCTTGAAGTCGAGCTCACGGCGCTGGTGGAAGTGGTTCATCTCAGCCTGCAGGGCGAAGCCCACCACGCGGCAGCGCCTACGAATGCCATCTGCTTCATCCTGCGCCATGCGGCCCTCGTCACTCATGCGTTGGCTCTCCTTTACCTTGGCAAAAGCGCCTGGCATAGGTAGAGCAGAAGACAAGGGAGGTTAGGGCTCTGGTCTCCCCAGTTTGTTCCCTAAACCCCCATTAGTACCCTCAAGGGCAGACAGTACCCTCATCAGCTCAACTCAGGCCTCACTCCTGTAGTCCAGACTCCCTAGTCCTCACCTAAATTAGATATATCATCTTCCCTCCAAACCTGTGGCATCACCAGCAGCCCACACACAAGCAGTCACAGCTCTGCTAGCTACACTGATTTCTAGAACCGGATATCCTAATTCAGTTCAGATATTACCTCCTCCAAAAAGCCTCCCATGCACCCCCACTGCATTAGGTTTCTCCCGATAATCTCAGATGCCCTGGGTTTCCCTCTCCCACAACCCTTACCACCCTGTGGTTTCTCTGACTGCCTCCCTCTGGGCTGTGAGCTCAATATCTCTAGCACCCAGAACAAAGCCTAGCAGATCCTCATACATGTCCACTGAGCTGATTCAACCTATTCCTCATTGGTTGATTACAACAGCCCCCCAAAGACCTCTCTACCTCAGTCCCAGCCTCTGAGAGGTTCTCCATAGCACCTGAAGAGCAGCCAAGCTGGGCACCCATAGTTCCAGACTTTCCTTGGCTCCTCTCTATCTGCAGATCAAGATCCACACCCATTCATAAGGCCCTCTAAAAGCTGGTCCCTGCACCCATTCCACACTGACCCCATATTCAGACTCACCCTGCTCTTTCCTAACTTCATCTCTCTGCCCTCTAGAGATTCCTATGCATAATTCAATGCCTCCCATCAGGTACACCAGGAGCCCCCCTCAGTGCTCCCAGGGACAATGCTTCCTATTCCCATCACACTGCGGATTCTAAAACAGAGTCTCAAAGGTCACCTGGAGTTTTCCCTTGTGTATGTCTCCCCCATAGACAGATCCTGGCCCCTCCTCACTCCAGCTCCCAGGGGACTAGAGGAGGCTATTGTAATAACCAGGTAACAGATGGAGGGCAGGAGATAAACCTGAGCAGGTGACCCAATTTGGAAGAATCTGAATGAATCGACAAAGCAATTGGTGAATGGATTCCAGTTCTGAATTAACAGGTACTTGACTAATTCTGCATTGAAGCCAGTGGGGACAGTTGTTGAGAGGGGTAGGCAGTGTGCCAGTGCCTGGCACTCACTCCTGCAGAGCTGAGGGGAATTCACTGTACAAAGAAGAATAAAGAGATAGGAAAGGTTGGCACAATGAACAGCACACTACCAAGTACTTCAAAAGGATCCACTGCACACAAATAACATGTTCACAATCATGCTTCCCATTTCTTCTTTAAGGAGGCTTCTCAATATGTGTTATTTTTACCCTCAAATTGTTCAATGTATTCATAGATGCATTTTGTTGAGCATTTACTATATGCCAGGCCCAGCTCTATATCCTAGAAATAACTCTGGGGGCCTTTAGAACTGGCAGCACACACTTAGTAAACAAGTACATGGCTAATTGACTAATACTGGCATTTTGGGCAGACAGACTCAGGTTTGGACAGTCTCCAGGGCTGCTCACAGAGCACTCAAAAGAACACTGATGTTACCAGCTCCCAGCCCACCACTCTGTCCCTCTGCAACATTCCTGTTCCATCCCAACTGCTCAGGCCTGGGCAGGAGAAGCAAGATCATTCCAAGGCCCATGATAAAGACCCAATAAGAGACTTCAGAACAGGAGAGGTCCTAGAGACCAGGTGCCTTCCCCACCTCCCATGCCACTGCTGTACAGAGGAAACTGAGGCCATGAAGGGAAGGGACTTGCCTAGGGGCTCCCACCTCTTTCCTGCCCCTCACATAGGGGATGCCTGGCCCAGAGGCATCCCTCCACAGCTGGGAGGTAGATATGACTTCTACTGCAGGGAACCCATGCCATGAGGCATTTGTGTGGGGCCCCCAGACAATGGAATCAGGGATTTGAGAAGGTGCTAAGAGAAAAGGAAGGACTATAAGAAGAAAGGTAGAAAACAAAAGGACAAAGAAACTGGAGTTAAGCTTCAGCAAGAAGAACCTACTGGAAGAGGAGACACTCACCAGCCTGGATTCCAACTGCCTGAGAAAATCCAGGTATTGTGGAGGTGAACCTGTACTCTAGAGGGCACTTCTCGCCCATAGCCTTGAAGGAGGAAAAGGTCCCTTTTATTGATTAGGAGATTAAGGCCCAAATAATAGAACTGAATCTATTGAAATTGCTAGGTATGTAAAAACAGGCAGACAGGCAAGGAGCCAGGGATGGGGCACAAAGGCCATGGCGGTAAAAGGGAGGTAAAGGCCCCACCCTGTTCTCTGTCACCTCTACCCTCTGACTCAGATCTGGGGCCTGGACCAGCTAACGCTAAAGTGCCCCCAGAGACCAGCTGGGAGTCAGGGATCAGGTCTAGCCAGCATCCCCCCTACATTCCACTTTGGACTCAACCTAAGAGCTGAAAACCCAGGGGAGCCTCCTGCCCTGGCAGTTGTTCTATAGGCAGGGTCCCAGGAATAGGAAAAGGAAGGTTAAAGTCCCAGAGCTCCAGGGCCCTAGGCATAGTCCCTAAGCTCCCACCTTAATCAATCTTGTCCCTACTTCTTGGAGGTTGTTACCATCTGCCCCAGGTTGGGGGCAGGAGGTCTGAGTTCTGGTCCCAACTATATAACCTCTAGCAAGCCACTGCTCTTGCCTGGTCTGCAGTCTTCCCCACATCAAGGGGAACAGGTTGGACTAGATATAATGCTATTGACAACTGTTCACAGCAGGCTAATGCTTTAGTTTCCACATCTGTAAACTGGGATAAAAGTACCTACCCTCTAGTGTAGTTGAGGCTTGATTGAACTAATATGTATAAAGTACTGAGGACGGCACCTGACCAAATAAGAACTCAAAATGCTACGTGCAATTGTGTGCAAACTGCTTTTCAGTCACAGCAAGAATCAGCGGTGAAGGCTTGTGGCAATGATTCTCTTTGTTTATGGAAGCCTAGGAGGGGTGAAAGAGGGAGGATTAGATACAGGCCCAGAACAGAGGACCTACCTGTCCCCCAGGCAGGTGCCTGGCCTACAAGGGCCACTTAGCCTTGGCCAATCTAGGAGCTCCTTGGCCCTTCCATGCATGCTCTGTGGTCCTGAGTCTGCCTCCAGCCCACCAAGGATTCCAGCTAAGTTAGCACTAAAGCATCTAAGCCTCCGTCCCTTCTCCTTCCCCTCCTAGCTCATCTATGCCAGGCAGCCATCCCTGGGGAACCTCCTTCCCCCATCTGTCAGGCACAGTGGACACAGCCTAGGCTGTGGAGTAAGACATACCCAGGCTCTAATTCCTGCTCTGCTAACCATCCCACCTCACTACACTTTGTCTGTAAAATGGAGGGGACAATATGAACTTCCCTGGCATGGTTGTGATGAATCTTAGGACAGAGCCCTAGCTCTCAGATAGGGGCAGTCACTGTTTCCACTTATTGTCCCAGAGTAATTATGATTAGGGCAGTCTTACCCCTCAAGACTGCGCTTGTTTGGACTGAGGTCCAGGGGCTGGGCCAGTGAGCAGAAAGGCTGGTGAGTCTCATCTCAGGGCCAACCAGACTCAATCTCCGATTTTACTAAGGTAAACACTGAGGGGAGAAAACTCTCTCAAGGTCACCTCAGAGACAACATTTGTCCAAATCCTGGTCTTCTGATCCCATCGAGGCTTCCCACTTCCTTTCTTCCATAGCCTCTCCCACATACTCACCATCTTTCAGATGTCCAGACAAACTGGATAGAATCCTGGGGGAACCCAATTTCCCTGCTCCTTCTTCTGACAAAAGGCTCTACTACAGGGCCAGCATGGGACCTCTCCTCCCTCCAATAGGCTATGGGCTCCCAAAGCCTGCCCAATTCTGTCCCAGCCAGATTCCAAGTCCCCTCCCTAACTCACCGGAAACACAGGCCTAGGGATGGTAATGCAGAGTCCAGAAGGAGAAAGAAGCCAAGAAGGGCTTCACTTTTTGAGGAGGGGGTCCTCCAGGTGAGGGGAGGTAAGCTGGCCTCTGCCTAAGCTTGAATACATCACCCTAGAGGACTGTTGGCCCCTCACTCTTAGAAACACCTCAAGTGGAAAGTCAGAAATGGCTTCTCTCAGCTATCTCCCTGCCCAGGGTCAGAAAAGACAAGTCTTGCTTCACTCCCTTCTACTTCAATGTGAGCCTAGGAGCCCTGGTTATGAAGCTGCCTTCCTGTCCCCAGCTCTGCCCTGGGTGAAGGTCCCCACCCACAGTGCAGCTGCTTAATCACTATACCTCCGCTTCCCCCTTCTGCTGCCCAGGTAGGAACATGCCATCCAAGGAACTGGTTGAACCAGCTTTCCCAGGCCCTGAAGCAGCAGTGGGTGTGGCTCCATTCAGAACCAGGGAGACACCTTCCCCAGTGGGCCCCAGTGGGCCCCAGCCAGCCAGGCTTCCTCCACTACCCTATCTCTGCCCCAGAGCTCAGAGCTAGATTGTAGGCATTACTCTGTCCTCAACCAGACACTCCCTATAAGTCTCCCTCTCCCATCTTGAAAGAATAAGAGCGCGCTGAGTCTTCCCTCCCTTGTTTTATAGATCAGAAAACTAAGGCCCCAGAGACAAAGGCACTTTCCAGAAACACACACCAAATTGGGAGAAGAGCCAAGACTAGAACTCAGGCCTCATGTCTCCTGAAACTGAAAGAAGAGGGAAGCAGAAAAGGAATTGGGAGATAAAAGGACAGAAAATAGAAAAGAGAAATTTAAGGGAGAAAGAAAGCTGGGAGGTACAGAAGTTCTAGAAGTCAACCTCCTGGTAAAGGAGAGCAGGGATGGTTTACACCAGACTCTCCTGGGAACCAAGGTAGTGGGTTGCTTTTCTGACCCCCAGGCTCAATCCAGAGGCCTGACTCCTGACTCCACCCAGAGGAAAACTCTCAACCAAGCCAGGCCTGACTTCAGGGCCTAGGGGCCAAGGAGCCAGCCCCACACCCTACAGACGTTTTCCTGAGTTAACCAAGCAGCCCCAGGGAAGACCACACCTCTCTCCTGACATCTGCCCTGCCTGTTGTCCCCAGGACTCATTCACCCTATAGGTCAGGTCAAGACTCACTGCTCAAGCAAGATGAAAGCCAGATTCCGGATGGGGTAGTTAGATGGACCATGTGCCCTTGGACCCCTGGTTCCTCCCTAGCCCAGCCCAGGTGCCCCGGGGAACCAGATAAGTCACTTCCCTGCCAGTTCCTTGATGGCCCCACAGTAACAGAGAGGGGCCCATCCTGTTCCTCCCTTTGTGAGAACTGAAAACACAGCCAGGCTTGGAAGGTGGCCAACATGGATGTGTGCCTGGGGAGGCACAGGAGACAGAAACAGTCCCAGCTGGGCCATGGACTCCCTGTATCACCACTCTTCTGTGAATACCACCTTCTATATCTGCAAAATGGGGACAGCAGCCCTCCCCTACACATATTAGGAGCTCACAGATAGGATATGCAGTGGGGAAAACAGGCTCTGAAGAGAGGTGAGATTGTGAGGCAATGGGAAGATGGGCCACACTGTGCTTGTTATCTGAGTCTGTATCCATGTGGGCTCCTCAAGGGCAAGGCCTAGGCCCTGGTCATCTGTGTTCCCAGAACCAAGCCTGATACCTTGAAGGGCTCAGTGTATAATGTGTAAATGAGAAAACAAGTCAGAAACAAACAAAAAAAATGAATGAAGACAGGAAGGTAAACAGTGAGCTCCATGAAGAGAGGAACCAGACCTTTTCACAATATCCCTATATCTACAATAGCACCTGCTACATAGTAAGGTGCTCAACAAAGTTTTTGAATAAATGAACAAGCCAGAGACAGAATGACTAGATGAGATGTTCCATTCTGTGTAGGCCATGTTCACATCCCCACATCCAGAAGAGTACAGATTTAGTAAGGGTCTCCAGACGTGCTGCATTGGCTCTTACCTTTCTGCAAGTGGATGATGTCGGGGAAATTGGAGAGCAAACCCTGGTAGAGAGACAGTGTGTCGAGCATCTGGAAGAGGTCATTCTTGGGCTGCTCAGCGAACATCTCGCCAACAGCTTCATAAGTACGGCCCGTATGAGAAATGGCACTGTTGAGGGCCTCAGAGCTAAAGGGGGGATCCATTTGAAAGGCATGACTGATGGCTTGGAAGGCACTGCCCAGCTTCTGAAATTCTTTGCGGAAGCCCCCCACATGCTTGCGCACCAGCTCCAATGCCACAGTGCTGAGCTGCAGGACACTGTCGTCCATCTTCTTGCTGAAGGCCTTAAAAGTGTCTACACGGTCCTCCACATCCTGCAGATCCTGGTGCTCCGTGGGGATCTGGAAGGTGAGGAGGAAGCTGGCACCCACCATCTCGTCCTTCTCTGCCCGGCGTTTGCCCATCTTCCACTGCTTGTCATCCAAACAGCTCAGGAAATGCTGGAAGCCCTCATACTGGGACAGCACGGGGTGGCTAGTCATGTGGTCCATCCAGAGGATGAGCCGCCGCTTCCGCTTCTCAATAAAATCCTCCTCAAAGCGGCCTGTGGCCTGCTTCTCCGGCAGGTGGGGCACAGAGATGACAGTGAATTTGTGAAGCAGGCGGTTATAGAGCCAGTCAAAGTGCTTGTAGCGCCGATAGACAGGGGAGCCAGCATGGGTGGGTGTGAGCTTGTAGGAGATGTAGCTTTTGATGCCCTTGAATTTGGTTTGTTTGGTGGGGTCTTCCACAGAACAGGCAAATGGGTGGGGGTTGGCCTTCCACTGGGGGCCACGAGGGCCCATTTCAATGGAGTAAGTCTCAGCAATCTTGGCCATCATGGGCACATTACCCAGGATGAAGGCCTCCACTCCAGAGCGCACAAAGCACGAAAAACGGTTAAGATTGCGGCCCACCACACTGCCTCGCTTGGCAGATGCCAGGCTGTCCTGCCGCTCCAGGGGTGGCTTGGGTCGAAAGGCCATGTGCTGGCTAGGGTAGGCACCAGGGTAGGAGAGGTTGAGTGGGGGGTGCCCATTGGTGCTCAGCCCACCAGCCCGTGGCTCCTCCACCACTGTGCATCCATCGTCCCAATCATCCCAGTCATCATCATCCTCCTCCTCAAAGCTGCCCTGGTTTGAGAGGAAGCCACTGCCCACACCACTCCCAGGGTTGGCCACACTGGGACTGTCATACAAGCTCACCTGGGTGCCTGGAGAGCCTGCAGGGCTGCAGGAGTAGTCAGCATGGTTGAAGCTGGTGCCAAAGCTGATGATCTCCACATAAGAGGCAGGGAAGAGCCCTGTTTCACCACGGCTGTTCTGGCCCTGCAGCCATCCATCCAGCGAGGTCTCGCTGAAGATGACTAAGTCCTCACCCTGCTGGATGTTGATTTCCTCCTTGTTCTCACTGTAGAAATCATAGAGGGCTCGGCCTTTTAGTGCCATGGCTTGGCCAGTGGTAGAAAAAAATGAGGAAAGGGTCCTGCCCAGAACTGGGATGTCCAAGAACGTACTAGTAAACAAAGGCCTGCCCCAGCAGCTCAGTCTCTCAGCCCCTAAGGCAGGTCTCAGCACCCAAAGATGCTGTCTAGCCCTCTCTTCAAAGCTATGCCCATGGCCCAAAAACTTCCCTATCACAACTCCCAGAACACGTCTGGGGGCCTCATATCCATCGTCTTCTTCCCTTCCCTTGGCAGCCCCTCCCACTCCCAGGAGAAAAGTCAAGTGACTCAGAGAAATTAGATCTGAGAGAGCAAGAACTCCACTTTCCACTAGAATAATGTACTAAAACAAAGGAGAATCACTCGGAAACCACCATTCCAGAACCTGGGCAGCTCTGGCTCCCAGCTCCTTCTGGCTCCTCAGGCCTTGGAAGACGCTCTCACATTCCTAGCAGATCTGCTCCTTCCTCTTTCCTCCTCCTCCTGGGCCACTGGGTTTTAAAAAATCCAGAAAAATCCAAGAGAGGCAAGGAAAAAAAGCATCAGCCTTCTGAACTGAGTCCAAGGGTAGATGTGTCCAGCTTCCCAACTAGCCAGGCCAGGAAAACAAGAACTGAGACTTACACAACAGGCCGCCAATCCTCCGACCCCGGTGGCCCAGGAGGCCTCCAGACTGCTCCGGTGCCCTCTCCCCACCCAAGTGGCTAGTTCCCAACCCAAAGAAGGAGGGGAGCGAAGTGGGGCTCAGGCGACTTCTGGCCACCAAATGTGTGGCCTCTTTTGTTTGCCTAATTCCTCAGGAGTTTCTGTGCCTGGAGCTGACCCGATCTGAGTCGGAGGACCCGTCCAAAAATAAGCTGTCCGATGCTGGCGTACAGACCCCCGCCCGGCCAGCGGGCACGCACACTCAACAGGAGTTTGCAGGAGCTCCGGGGGAGCAGATGGCGCCCGGCCAGCCGGCCTCCGCTCTAGCCCGTGGGTTCGGTAGTGAGCACAGGCTGTGCCCCCCAACCCGTCTCCTCTAGCTCTCGCAGCCCCTCCACACCGCCAGCTAGAAGCTAGCTCCAAAACAAACAAACAAAAAACCAGCGATTCCGGGAGGTGGCGTCCGAGGGAAGGAGGGAACAGCCGCTGGGGAGGTAGCAGTGGGAAGCGACAGGGAGGGAGGGAAAGCAGGCAAACTCTACGGCACTTCCGCGCAGGCGGCTGCTGGGCCGGGACTCCGACTCCGCCCTCCCAGCCCGCCAGCCCCTCTCTTCTTTCCCACCCGCAGTGGCCCTCACTAGCTCCCCGGAGAGGAAATCGGAATGTGAGAGGAAGAAGATGACCCGGAATGAGCAGGCTGTGAGCCTCCAGGGTCAGTCCACCCTCCAGGGGAGGCAGGTCTTACCCTGCGGGCTTGAGGGAGGGCAGTGCTCTCCCCCGCCATTCACCTCCGCCTCCTCCGCGTCTCCGGTCACCTCCCAGACTTTTTCGTGATGACAGTGGAGGAAGACTCCAAAAGTTTGCAAAGCGAGGGGCAGCAAGGAGAGCGCCAGGGCCCGACGGACAGAGGGAAGGGATTGAGGAAGAGAGCTTGGAGAGTCGCAGACACTCCCCACCCCCCCCCACCCCCCACACCCCCGTTGGCCGGTGGCCCGGGATTGGTCTCTGGAGGGGCCCACCAGAGCACTGTGCCAGGGCCCTTGGGATTACAGCACTGGAAGGTTTCAGTTCACCCCTTGTCCTTAATTCATCCATTCTGTCTGTCTCATTCATTCAATCATGCACCCAAGGAAACATTAACTAACTATTGGGTACCAGGTCCCTGGACTACAAAGACAAATAGGACATTGTCCTTACCTTTCAGGGACTCAGATGTGTCTGGACAAGTAGTCAGATGCTCCTTGCCCAGTGTAACCAATACCATGAAATGTGCTCGGGAGGGCACAGATCCCAGCCTGAATGGGGCAAGGATCAGGAAAGGCTTCCTGGAGGAGGTATTGTGGAGGCAAAGGCTTCAGCTCCTACTTCCCTTCCTGCTATGCCCTAGAGCCTTGCCTACCCCTCTAGCTAGGACTTACTTCCCTCTCATTCTCACGATTCCCACTTGATGCTGATTAACTGGCAGAAGGCAATACCACTAAAGGTGGACACCTTTGGCTTTTTGGGGTGGGAGGGGTGTGATTTGCAGGCTCTAGAACCCGAATTCACTGGTGCAATGAGTAGATCTAATTCCGTGTGCAGGGCTGGCATTTGACCCAAATAAAATCTTTTGTAAAAAGCCCAACCATTAATTTGCACAGAGAAATAGAACTGTCAGGCAAACTTGAATTTGCATCAACAGAACAAAGCAGTTTGGGCTACTCCTTGGAAAGCCCAGTTACCAAAAGGTTAGCACAGAGAAACTAGAACCCCTAGAATGGGTAAGGGGGATGGTATAGCAAGAAACCTTACAATCTTATTCCCCCCCTACACGGCAGCCTTGATTCTATGGGCTCAGTTTAGTCTAGTATCTCTATGACCAGAGCCTGAATACATGTTTCTCTCAGCTGCTTTGGGATGTCTTTTTTCTGTGATTTCTCTTGTTCACAAAGCCTCTCTCCAAGCTGGTTTTAACAATAACTACTTCCTTAGAGACACTGTTATAAACATTTTACCTTTATTAGCTCATTTAGTACAATTGGGATTTCTGCTCACACAACTAGGTTGCTAGTACAGCCCCATCCCCTTGAAGGGCTTTCAGCCACCACTCTGATGGCCTTTAATTGATTCTCAAACACTTCAGTCACACATTTACAGACCAACCATGTTTTATTTACTCCCACATCTGTTCTGGGTGAGCTTTTCTAATTTTCAGGGGTCACCCTTATTCCCAGATTCTTAGAGAAAACTCACTCCTCAGCCTCAGACATTTCCAAAACCTGTATCTTCTATTCCCTCCCTTCCAGAGACTCCAAGACTAGGAGTTATAGAGACTCTGGTCACACATCTCAGGAAACCAGTAACTTTTATGGTTTCCCTACACTCTGCCCATTCCTTTGGGAAAAGTTTCTTTATTAAATTATCTCCACATTATTGTAATTGGAGTATGTTCTCTCTTTTCTGCTGGGATCCTGGATCCTGCACAGGAAACCACATCCATCTCCCCATCCAGGCATCCAACATTCCTCCTTTAGAAAAGAAGTCAGCAAGGGAGAACCATGGCCAGTGGTACCAGGCTAACCCGGCCAGTAGCAGCATGGTAAACACACTGGACATTACTATAGTAATACAGACAAGAAAAGATGACAGCCTGAGACAGGGCAGAGGTAATGGGCTGGAGAGAAGTAAATCTGGGAGTTTGTGGAGGTAGAAGAGACAGGAATGGCAACCAACAAGATGTGGATATTGAGAGAAGAATCAGCCAGCATCTTTAAAAAAAAAAGATTCTTGACTCCTCTTTCCCCCACAGCTATTGCCCCATATCTCTGTTCGCCTTTGCAGCAAAACTCATCAAAATGGCATCTATTCCAGTTGCCTACAATTAAGCCCTTTCTCATTTTAAACCTCTCTAGCCAGTCTTTCACCTTCACACGCCACTGAAATTAATCAAGGTCATCAGTGACTTAATGGTTATTCTCACTCCTCCTCTTCTTTTTTTTTTTTTTTTTTACATCGAGTGGTTGCCACCCACACGACCCAACCAGGGCAGGAGACAAACTGCAACCGAGGTACATGCCCTTAGCGGAACCAAACCCCTGTCTCCTTGGACCGCAGGCCGACTCTCTACCGCTGAGCCAAACCAGCCAGGGCAGTCCTCCTCTTCTTACTCAACCTGTCAATAGCAGTTGATCAAGTTGGTCATTCCTTCCCCTTGCATACACTTTCTTCACTTGCCTTGGGGAGACCATATTCTCCTGGTTTCCTTCTACTTTGCTGATTCATCCTCTTCTTTCCAATAATTCTTAACACTAGAGTGACTACAGTATTGTGGTGCTCTTATCTTTCCTAGCCATGTTCACTCCTTTCTTTTTTGATTAATCCTCACCCAAGCATATTTTTCCATTGATTTTTAGATACAGTGGAAGGAGGTAGGAGAGAAACCTAACCTACCCCCATGAGAAAGAGACACATTGACTGGTTGCCTCTCACACAACCCTGACCAGGGCTGGGGATCAAACCTGCAACCCAGGCATGTGCCCTTAACCGGGAATCAAACCTGTGACCCTTTGGTTTGAGGGCCAACTCTCTAACTGCTGAGCCAAACTGTCCAAGACCCATATTCACTCTTTTTTATTTATTTACTTACTTATTTTCCTCCCATATTCACTCTTTTGATGCTCTCACCCAGAATCATGGCTTCAAACACCATCCATCTCCTAATGACACCCCAAATTTTTTTTAATCTCCAGTCCATTCCTTTCTCTAAAACTCCAAATTCACATACTTTCTCCTTGATTTTTCTCCTTGGATCTTTAATAGACATCTCCAACCCAACATGAGCAAGACTGAATTTCTGACCTTGCCACCCCACCCCACAACCTGTTCTACTTGGCATTCTTCCCCATCTCAGATGATGAGTACTTTTTCCCAGATGCTCAAGCCAAAAACTGGAGTCATCCTTGACTTTCTTCATTATCTTGGGACTCCTCTCTCATCAGTATCTCACTGCTGCTCTGCTAGTCCCAGCCACTGTCTTTCTTGCCTGGATCATTGCAACAGCTTCCAATGGCCTCTCTTTCCACCCCTGCCTCCCAATAGTCTGTTCTCAACACAGCATCAGGGTGATCCTTTTAAAACAAGTTAGATGTCAATCCTCTGCTCAAAACCCTGCAGTGTCCTTATCTCACTCAGCATAAAAAGTCCTTACAAGGGCCAACAAGCTTCTTTATCTGAGTCCCCTTTCCTCCCCGCCTAGCCCAAGCCCACTCTGCTCCAGCCAAGATGACTGTTACTCTTCTGACATGCCAGGCACAATCCTCTCTTAAAGCATTTGCAGTGACTGTTTTCTCTTCCTAAAATGCTCTTCTCCCGTACACATGGCTAAACCCCTTTAAAATATCACTTCAGTAAGACCTGACATTCCCTATTTAAAATTATAGCCCATCCTCACCCCAAGCCCTAAATAACATTTCACCTGCTAACATATATAATTTACTTACTTATCATGTTTGGGGAGAAGGAAGTTACCCAAGAGTCCTGCTGCATACATGTTGAGCGAGACTTAGAAGGAAATGAGGCTAGGAGAATATGAAGGGTAGAGATAAAGTACAAACTAAGAGAAGATATACCATATATAACTGGTTACAGATTAACATCCGTAATATATAAAGAACACCTTCAAATCAATTAGAAAAAAAAAGCAAGCAATCTATGAGTTTTTTTGTTTTGTTTTTTACTGCAGCTGTTGTAACAAATTACCACAAACTTAGTGACTTAAAACAAAACAAACTTATTATCTTATAGTACAGGAGATCAAAAATCCAAACTTCGTCTCACAGGGCTTTAATCAAGGTGTCAGCAGGGCAGTGTTCCTTCTGGAGGCTCTAGAGAAAAATATATTTCCTTGCTTTTTCAGGCTTCCTAGAGGCTGACCATATATATTCCTCTGCTCCTGGACCCCTTTCATTTTCAAAGCCAGTAATCACATCATTCAGACTTCTGCTTCCATCATCATATCTCTTCTGGTTCTTCTGCCTCTTTCTTTCACTTATGAGGACTCTTGTAATTACAGGGAACCCATCCTGATAATCTCACCATTTCAAGATTCTTAATTTAGTCATGTCTGGGTGGACATCTTTGGGGGACCATTATTCTACTTACCACACAGTCCAATAGAAAAACAGAAGACATGAAGAGGCATTTTAAAAAGGAGAAAATACATATGAAACCATTATTCATCAGGGAAATGAAAATTAAAATCACAATGAAATACCATCACACACTTCCTAAATTGGCAAAAAAAAAAAAAATTTAACAATCGAGAATGAGGAGCAAAGGGAACTCTCAATTGATACAACCCTTTTGTTAAACAATTTGGCAATATAGGTGTGCTCTCCCTATGGGGAGCACTCCCATGCCATTCCTTCTCCCTCTTCTTCCCTCACTTCTTCACCCATAGGCACTCATCTCTTAAACTCTAAGAGTCCCCAGGAGACTTGCAACCAGGGGAGCAATGGGTAGCAGCAGTTCATCCTAGGCTAATCCCCTGAACCTGTCTCTAAGGCCCCCTTTTCGAACTTCCCAGTGAGCTAAGGCAGCCTAACCTAGGCTTCCTGTTGCTTTATCTATGCAAAGCCCTTCCTTATTTTACTGTCTCCAACTTTAATAAACATATCACCATAGTCAAAATAAATAATAAAAAATAAAAAAACAATTTGACAATATCTAGTAAAGTTAAACATGCACATAACTTACAACTCAGCAATTCTGCTGCAAGATGCAGACTAGAAGTTATTGTATATGCGCAACAGAAGACCTCCAAGAATGTTACTAGCAGCACTGCTAAACAATAGTCCCTCCAAAAAAATGCAACAGGAAAAAAGATTAATAAATTGGATAGAGCCAAACAATGGATTAGTATATAGCAGTAAAAAAAAAAAAAAAAAAAATAGCCCTGGCCAATTGAGCTCAGCGGTTAGAGCATTGGCCCTTGGACCAAAGGGTCTTGGGTTCAATTCCGGTCAAGGGAACGTACCTCGGTTGCAGTTCAGTCCCTGGCCCTGGTCCAGGTTGTGCAGGAGGCAACCAATCCATGTGTCTCTCTTACATGAATGTTTCTCTCTGCACCCCCACCCCTACCCCCACTCTATCTGAAGATAAATGGAAAAATATCCTCAGGTGAGGATTTTAAAAAGCAAACAAACTACAGCTACATATATAAACTCCATGTGGTGAGATTTCTTCTGAGCAACACTTCTCAACTGTTGGTGTATATACACAAATTACCTGATGATCTTGTTAAATGCAGATTCTGATTCTGTGGGACATGAAATTCTGCATTTCCAATTACTTCTCTGCTGCTCCACAGGCTACACTTTGAGTAAGAAGGATGCATATTTAGGGATGCATGTATAATGATAAAAACTATTTTTCTTTTAAACAAAAAGTTAAACAAAAGATTCAGGAGAATAGATACCTTTACCTCTGGTTGGGAGAGTAGGTAGGAGACATTTTCTTAAACTGGATGCTGGGTTTATAAGTATTTATTATACTTTATAACTTACATATGATACATATATTATTTTTCATATCAAGTATCATACTTCAAAAGACAACGAAAATCGTACAAAATCCCCAAAATGATCACTGACTAAGCTATGTGACGTCAAAAGCTTGGGCAAATGACGAGGTTAGTCCTGCAACGCTACAGATACAACCTACACTCAATTATTAGGTGACCAGATACCCACCCTGGCAAGCAAATTCATTTGAGTCTACACTAAAGAGTCGGGGTTTGTGCCTACTATCCAAATTTCTCAGACTTGTTAAGTTTTATTAATTAAGTGGAACTTCTGTCAACAATGCATATTTCCAAGTGGCTCCCGTGTAGATCCCGATTCTGGGCGTCTAGTAAACTACCGGAGAATCTGTATTTCAGAGGTTCGCTGCAGCCCAGCCCCACCTAGCATATAAAAACCTTTCCTCGCACCTAGTTAAACCTGGTTCTGGCGATGGGTGGGCACTACCAGGTCAGCCCATGGGTCCACAGACTCCGGGAGGCCCCCAACAAAGTGGAATGAACCCAACGGTTCGTTAGCACTACTTAAACCCAACCAAACAAGTGCCGTCTTTCCTCTTCCTCACAACCCACCTCTTTAGCTCTTGCTCGGGAGACTCTCCTGGGTGTCTCCAAAAGGCAGATAATCTGAATAAGAGCAAACAATTGGCTTACCAGAGGACTGGTTCCTGGCCATTTCACACGGCTCCGCCCTCTCCGGTCCCCGGCCCCCGCGCCCCAGCCCGGCCTCTCGGGTGAGGGGAGAAAACACGCGAAATACACCGTGGGGCGTGGCCCAATTCTGACCAATGGGATTTAGGGGTGTGGCCACGAGTCTTTCTTTCATTGGTCCAGTTGCGGGGGGCAGGCTTTCTCAAGCCGAAGCGGAAGTCGCGCGAACCCGGAACTCACTTTTAACCTTGGGTCCTAGGGAGCTGGCAGTGGCCATCATGGTGCGGAAGCTTAAGTTTCACGAGCAGAAGCTGTTGAAGCAGGTGGACTTCCTGAACTGGGAGGTCACTGACCAAAACCTGCACGAACTGCGCGTGTTGCGGCGTTATCGGCTGCAGCGGCGCGAGGACTACACGCGCTACAACCAGTTGAGCCGTTCTGTGCGCGAGCTGGCGCGGCGCCTGCGCGATCTGCCTGAAGGCGACCCATTTCGCGTGCGAGCCTCGGCCGCACTGTTGAACAAGCTCTATGCTCTCGGCCTGGTGCCCACGCGCAGCTCTCTCGAACTCTGCGACTTCGTCACGGCCTCGTCCTTCTGCCGCCGCCGCTTGCCCACCGTGCTCCTTAAGCTGCGCATGGCGCAGCACCTCAAGGCCGCCCTAGCCTTCGTGGAGCAGGGCCACGTGCGCGTGGGCCCGAACGTGGTCACCGACCCTGCCTTCCTTGTCACACGTAGCATGGAGGACTTCGTCACCTGGGTTGACTTATCCAAGATCAAACGGCACGTGCTGGAGTACAATGAGGAGCGTGATGATTTCGATCTGGAAGCCTAGCGGTCTTTACTCCCCAGCTCCCCACCTTCTTCACCAGTGCTGCATTTTATATATTGGGAAGCTGAGACCTGGTGCTGGAGATTCTGTGAAGGCGCTTTTCCCCAAGAGTATGTCAGCCAATTCTCGGTGCTTAAGAACTCGGCTCCTCACCTGCAGGCCACGCTTACAGCCAAAGGGTACGCCCCCTTTTCTGCGAAATTTTCTTAGCCCTTGGACTACTGATAATTAAATGACTTGCCTCGAAACAGTGAGAAGCGGTTTTGTTTTGCGCAGGTTTGTTAGATTCTTGTGCCTATAACATTGCAGTGTAGCTTCCGGACCCAACCCACAGCCCGCTTTCCCCTTATTATATTATAGCAGGACAGTTTCGTTTAATTAATTTAACTCGAATTCTTGCTTCTGTTGGTAACCACTGCGAATTTGATCTTACGTTTTCATAAAATGGGGTGAGATTTTAGTGTTCTGGGTACCATCCCTTGTTTTAAAGGAGTGCTTTTTTGATGCCAATAAATGGTACAAATACTTTGTAAGTGCAAATTTGTGCCTGTCTGGTTTTCTCACATAGGGTCATATCTGTAGGTCTCCTTTGCTCAGGAACCCAGAGAAAAGAAATGGGGTCAAGGGTCAGCAACTGCCTGCCTGTATGTGAGGCCTGCAACAGGGACAAGTGAAGGTTGCTGGGTGTTGTACAGGGCTGGGCATATTTGTGAGTTTACCAAACCCTTCCTCGGATGGAGTGCTTATGCAGAGCTCTTCCCCGCAGGACTTCCTGTTGATATTCCAGCCCCAGGAAATACCATATTAGAGGAACTGAAGTGTTTGCTTGCCTAAGAAAATGATCACCTTGTTTGCTTGGCCATCTAGCAGTTAGAAGTGGCCCAGGAGGTTCCTGAAAACTTAGATGTTCTTAGGAGTGGGAGGTAATTGGAAGGAAGAGTAGGAAGACACCTGGTTTTACACAAGACTTCTACAAGGAGAATAATAGAATGCCAAGACCAGTGGAATCACTTTTAAATTGTCTCCTCCGCCCTGGCTGGTTTGGCTTAGCGGTTAGAGCATGGGCCACGGACCAATGAGTCACGGGTTAGATTCTGGCCAAGGGCATGTACTCAGTTGTGGTTAGCCCCTAGCCCTGGTCGGGGTCCTGTGGGAGGCAACCAGTCCATATTTCCCTTGGATGTTTCTCTCTCTCTCACTCCATATGAAGATAAATAGAAAAATATCCTTGAGTGAGGATTAAAAGAATAAACACATTTGTCTCCTCCATTTCCCCAGGTGTGAGGCAGCACTTGAAGATACAATTAAGGGAATGAGGCACTGGGGATGTACAGTAGTCCCTCGCCACTTTGCACTTCGACTTTTGCGACTTTACTCTATTGCAGTTTTTTCAAATATATTCATTAAAAAGTTGATTGAGACAGTGAAAATGATACAGCGCGCGCTCGGTTGTCTGAGTCGATTATACACCCCTGTATTACAATTAAAATTAAAATTATTGTACGTATGGACTGAAGGCCTATGTATATGAGCACCCCAGGAATCCTTCAAAGCCAAGTGGTACCACTAGAGTCTGGAACGGATTAACCGTGATAAAACAAGGTATTACTGCAAATGCTTTACTACATGCCCCAGGCATGGTTTTAAGAACATTACATATCTTAACCACTTAATCCAATATTCCTCTGAAGTAGAGAATCCAATTACTGTAATTTCTACTTTTCAAGTGAGGGAACTGAGGTAGAGATGGGTCAAATTACCCCAGATTGCACAGCCAGTAAGTGGAGTTGGAATCATGCTCCCTTTAGGAAAGTCAGCATTGGCACAGCTGACACTTAGGATGTCTCAAGGTTTTTGTGTTTATTATTATTTTTTAAAGGTCTTAAATATGCCCTCGCAGTTTTGGCTCTGCAGTTAGAGCATCAGCCTGCAGACTGTGAAGGTTCACAGGTACGATTCCAGCCAAGGGTCCATACCTGGCTTGCAGGTTCAATCCCTGTCCCTGATCAGGGTCGTGTGGGAGGCAACCAATTGAAGTCTCAAATATGCCTCAAGTTTTAATAAGATGCTCTATATACACATTTACTTACTACTAAAAATTGAAATGGCACATCAAAAAATGTGTTAAAATTCAAATTTTTGAAAACCAGAGAATCTAGTTCTTGCACCCTGCACTAATCATACTCCAGCCATACCACCCAATGTTTTCTTTTTACATTTCTTCCACACAAGTTACTTGCTTCTAATTATTGATGTTGGGTTTCATCTTACTGGCTTCGGGCTTCTGAAACACAACACAACACTCAAGACCTAGTACTTCTTTGGGTCAAATAAAAAAGGAACTGAAGTATATTGAAGTTGTTCAAATGCAAATCACATAGACTCCTTATAAGTTAAAGACATCACAGAACTTCTATTGTAGGTTATCAAAATATTGGTAGACAGTTTATCCTAGCGTAGAGTAGTTCCCCAAGCTGCTGCATAATGACCTTAAAATTACTAGCAAGAAAAAAAAAGACAATAAGTTTTATAGCTAAATCTATTCCATGTCATATTCTTCATGCTAATATTACCAGAACAGTCTCAATGATACAGGCAATAATGACAGCCACATCTAAATTTTTTGAATCTAGACATACTCTGCCTCCTGGGAGCATGCCTGAGCCTTTCCCTTCCCCCTCAAGCATGCATATCCTAAACTTGAAGGGACCCCACAAGACTTACAACAAGGGAAGCATTGGTCAGTGGCAGGGGCAGCTCTTCCCTGGCTAACCCCCTGAACCTGTCTCCATGATCCCCTTTTCTCTGACTTTCCAGTAAGCTAACAGCAGCCCCGCCTTGGCTCATTCCCTTCACTGTGACTTTTATTTCTCAGTCAGCCAAAGCAGACCTGCCTAGGCTGTCTCCTGTTGTTTCTTCTATCTTAAGCCCTTCCTTGTTTCATTGTCCCCAGCTTTAATAAATATACTCTCATTTAAAAAAAAATTTTTTTTCCAAATCTTGATTGAATCTCAGTTTTCTTCTCCTGTGGGTCTTTTTGAAGCAGAGACTGGTTGTGGTATCTAATAACTTGTAACATCCTTTCCATCCACTCTCCGAGCAGTTGCCAATGCCCTCACTCCATGTCTCCTCTAGAGCATGCCTTGACCCAGCCCCAGTCCAAGCCCCTGTAAGTTTTTTTTTTCCTTTGTCCTGCTGTTAGGGTGGACATTCTGTTAAAAGGGCAGGGTATTTGGTGCTAGGGTTGAGAGTCAAGTTTCCGAAGTTCTTTGTTAGTGCTTCTGAGACAGCTTGAGTGCCAGCTGAATCTTCACAGGGCATCTGAGAAGACTCCAGAGTCAAGGTTGGGTTAATCTTTGATGAGTCTGCTGGAGGTCTAGTCACAGCCTGAAGCTCCTCTTAGATTCCCCCCAAAGGGATTAAGCATAAGATAATGCTCAAAACTCTCCAACTGTCACACCCTGGCTGGTTTGGCTCAGCAGTAGAACATAGGCCCACAGACCAATGAGTCTCAGGTTCAGTTCCGGCCAAGGGCACATACCTCTTTTGCGGCCCAGCCCTGGTCTGGGTTATACCGGAGACAACCAGTGGATGTGTCCCTCTCATGATGTTTCTCTCTGTTTCTCTCTCCTTTCCTTTCTATTCCTTTTTCTCCCTCTCACTCCATCTGAAGATAAATAGAAAAATAGTCCTCGTGTGAGGACTTAAAAAAAACAAACAACTCTCCAATTGTTACAAAATAGCCGGGAAAGAACTGTATAACCCAGAAATAGGAGAAAATCCCAAATTCCAACAAAACATGGTGAAAGAAAGCGCTAACCTCAGGATGTGTCAGGGTTTAGAAAAAGTCCCTGAATTTGAATTTTCAAGTCATCAGGGAAGCAGCAGCACTAAGCAATGTTGTATGAATGTTTGAGCAAGGAGCAGGCATTGAACTGCCAAGGCTTGACTAACACTGAGGCCCTGCCTGTGCTAAGGTGCCATTTGCTCTTCCCAAAAACCCTGTAAGGCAGTGGTCCTCAACCTTCCTAATGCCACGAACCTTTAATACAGTTCCTCATGTTGTGGTGACCCCCAAACATAAAATTATTTTTATTGCTACTTCATAGCTGTAATTTTGCTACTGTTATGAATCACCATCGGAAATATGTGTTTTCCGATGGCCTTAGGCGACCCCTGTGAAAGGGTGGTTTGACCCCCAAAGGGTTCGCAACTCATGGTTGAGAACTGCTACAGTATAAGGTAAGGTGATGCTATCTACACCTTTCAATTTGGGAGACAGAATTGGGACTAGAATTTATCCATGGCTGTCATTCAAGTCCAGTCTTATGTGACAACGAAGGCCATGTTTCTTTTAGTTCCATCCCTTGAGAAATGAAAGGAGAGAAAATCTTACTACTTCTCAACTCTGATGGCTAGGCACAATCTCTTCCCATGTCAGGGGTATTCTCAGGGCTTCCAGGATTAGGGATCACATTAAAAGAGGTGGCTCTGGAAGGCAGGACCACATGGGCCTGGCTGAGTACTCACTTGGTTAGAGTATCATCCCCTGATATGCCTGGGTTGCAGGTTTGATCCCTGGTCAGGGCACATAAAATGAATTCATAAATAAATGGAACAACAAATCTGTTTCTCTCTCTTCCTCTCTAAAATCAATAAATAAAACTTTAAAAAAAAAAAAAAGAAGGTAGCCCAGCCAGTATGGCTTAGTGTTTGAGCATCGACACATGCACCAAGAAGTCACCAGTTCAATTCCAGGTCAGGGCACATACCCAGGTTATGGGCCAAATCCCCAGTGAGGGGCATGCCAGTCGATGTTCTCTCATCGATGTTTCTATCTTTCTCTCCCTCTCCCTTCCTCTCTCTAAAATCAATAAAGAAAAAATAATTTTTTTAAAAAAGGAAAAGGCAAGGCCTAGCTGGTGTGGCTCAGTGGATTGAGCGTCGCCCCATGGACTAAGAAGTCCCAGTTCGATTCCCAATCAGGACACATGCCTGGGTTGCCAGCTTGATCCCCAGGAGGGGGTGAGCAGGAGGCAGCCAATCGATATATCTCTTCCACATTGATGTTTCTATCTCTCTCTTCCTCTCTCTCTCTCTAAAAAATCAATAAAAACATTTTTTAAATGGAATGCAGGGCCCTGGCCAATTTGGCTCAGTGGTTAAAGTGTCTTTCGGTCCATGGATCAAAGAGTTGTGGGTTCAATTCCCAGTCAAGGGTACATACCTTGGTTGCAGGTTCAATCCTCAGCCCTGGTCCGGTCATACAGGAGGCAACCAATTGATGTGTCTCTCACACTGATGTTTCTCTCTCTCCCCCTCTCCATCCTTCCCTCCCTCCCTTCCTCTCTCCCATTCTATCTAAAGAAAGGAAAAAAATGGAAAAAATATCCTTGGTTGAGGATTTTAAAAATAAGTAAATGGAAGGCAGGACTCCCACTCACCACTGCAACCCTCTGGTTCCCACCAGACCCCACAGGGCAAGGCAGGTAAATCTGCCCCTTTGGAGTAGTTGGAGCCTACACCTATGGCACAAGCAGGTACAACTTCAGAGTTCTCTTGATGGGAACTGGATTTAAGAATTTTGGAGTACAATACAAGATTCTTGAGAAAAGTCTTCATTTTTCCTTTTTGGGGAAGATATAAAAGAAATTACTTTAAAAGAACCTGTAACCAGAAATTTTGGACTTAAAAATAAAACACTATGGCCCTGGCCAGTTTGGTTTAGCAGTTAGAGCGTCAGCCCATGGACCAGAGAGACCTGGGTTCGGTTCCTGCTAAGGGCACACACCTTAGTTGCAGTTTGTCCTCAGCCCCTGTTGGGCTCATGTGGGTGGCAACCAGTTGATGTGTCTCTCTTACATCAATGTTCTCTCTCTTCCTCTCTCCCTCCCACTCTATCTGAAGATAAATGCAAAAATGTCCTTGGGTGAGGATAAAAAATAAATTAATTAAATAAATAAAACACTATGCAAGACAAGTGATTCAGAAGGTAGGCTCTGGAGCCAGACTGCCTGGTCTGTGTGGAGGCATCTATGTTTAATTAGCTGTATAACATTGATTACTTTGCTTAGCCTCTCTGTACCTTCCCCA